GGCTGACTCTTATACGGTTGAGGAAGGGTCTGCTCAGCCTATTCTACCAATAGTTCAGCTTAACAATTATCTTAAGTCACCTTCATTGATATGGAGAAAAGTCCTGCACAGTTTTGGATGATGGAAAGCAAAGAGTATCCTAATTTAGCAAAACTGACAATGGAAGTTTTGGAAATACCAGCACCTTCTGCTGTAGAAACGCTATTTAGTATGGCTAGAACGGTGTTTCGCCCTGAACAATGTAACTTAAACGACTCTCAAATTGAGGAACTAATGTTTATTTGATGTAATCACTTCTAAAACAACTAAAAATTAGTGGTTGTGGATAGTTAAAAATTTAATTAGACACATTACTTTAATATCACTAATTGTACTTGTATTGGACTTAAGTTCACATTCCAATACTTATAACAGTACTTCAGTACTGTAGCAAAAATACGATGTCCTTGTACTGAATTACAACAAAAGTACTTGTATTATACTTAAGTAATTTTAATAGTACTTTGCCCCAACCCTGCTAGACACACCAAGAAACTGCTTGAAATCTATTCATACATGTTGTAAAAGATTAATCAATACAAGAGTTTTTCACATGTTTTCAAGGACAAGCAACTCATCTGCTACAACAGCATTCTGTCTTAAGCGAGAAGGTGCGGTTTAAAAGGCGGTGCCCTGGGTATGGTGGCTTCCATTTTATTCATGTGTAAGAGTGTCTGCTCTAAATGATGTTGCTTCTTCAAGGAAAAACGCAGGCAGAGAGTTTGGGTACCAAATTGAGTTACATTTTACTCTCAAAGAAGACAAGGACCTGTTCAAGTTAGGCTTAATTGAGTTAAGGGGTCTTTAGGCACTAAAAAAGGCGCTGGAAATGCTGTCTCACTTGCTGATTTAGTCAGGAAAGAGGATCATTTAGAGGCTCTATCACATGATACTAGTTATGCTCAATACTTCAGGTAGTTATAATGTGTTTAAAATTAGTGTTAATATATAAAATAAGGTATGGGTGATGGGGACTAAGAGCAGCCATTTTGTGCATAGATAGAGGATTGGCTATTGGGACGCACATGTCGGTGATAGTGTTGTATGGTTGACTGAAGGGTGATCAAATTGCAATCAGGTATTATTTATTATTATTATCATTTATTATAATGATTATCAAAATTATATTTTAATTACTATTACTATTATTATTATAGTATAACTCATGTGATTTGTGCTGAGTTTTAATTCAATGATAGTTGAGTCCTGTAATCGTAACTCAAGTTTATTATGTAGTAGATACAGAAGTAAGCATAATGTGTAATTTAAAGTATTCATACATTAATTGGCATTAATGTTTTTTAGGCTCGTACTAGCATATACTTTTGCTGGTATATTACCATCACAGTACTGCCATATTTTGATAGGCATTACTTGGTACAGTTGAGAAGATGTACACAATTACATGAAGCTTCTCACCATCCCCATATCCATTCAACTCTGTTATTGTATATGCTTAATAATTTAGAATATAATTTTTGTATTTACTACTTCAGTGGATCGTTAAATGTTGCAACTGCTACCAGTACTAGGATCTAATTGAGCATCAAGTGGGGGTCTTTTGCTGTAACCACTTCTACTTGATGAGGGTGGCTGATAATTGGTAGTCGGCAAGGCCTTCTGGTGCTAGTGGTGGCAGTTCCTGGGCTAGTTTTTATGTAGTAATGAGGTCTATTCCTTTGCCACTATCACTTATAGCCTGCCTGACAGAATTATTGACTATGTTTGTTAGGCTGTTGACAGATTTTCAGAATATACCATATAAATATTTGATAATAATGAAAAAAATTATTACTTCAAGTCAATTTTATATGGTGACGGGCGGAAGCGATTCTATGACGCTGAGTGGACCGTTTTATACTGCACCTTCTTCAAATGTACATGTAGTTAGTAACATTTTGCTGCAACCACGTATATTGAATGATACAGAAATATAACTATTGCCTTAAAATCCTTGTGCACATGCCTTGGAAGTGTTATCTGGTTTATTCCTGAATTCATTGCTTGTTTATGTAACTTAGCACAAGTTTACACAAACTTTTCACAATTTAAAACTTCATTTTGGCATATTCTTTACTCGTTTATTGCCATTAATGGTTTTTGAAATAAATTAATGTGTTGTTAAAAATTTGAAGTGCTAAATTTAGGGTTTCAATTTGACAAATTTTTTTTCATGTGTCATTGAGCATCCACATAACAGTTCAAAATGGTGAATTTATTCTGGTGAATGGCAACCAAAATACAAAAATTCACTAATTTTTCCAAGACTAAAAGCAACATCTTTGTAAGGGGACTAAAGTGCACTGCTATTTGCATTTTTAATGATATATTAGGCTTAATGAGAATGACAATGTACGTGTATTAAAGGAGAATACTTATTTAGTAAAATTTTATAATGTCACATACTATAGTAATATAATTTTGGCTAAATTTTGGAGCAACTTTTTGAAAGTGATGAACTACCAAAAATTTAAATACTACCTTGCTAAACAACATGAGTACACGTACTACTACATGAATCAGAAAAATTAATCTTCCTTTCATTCATTTTTTTTCTTTTGCAAAATTTTCTATTTTATAGTCCATTTTGATTAAAAGACATGTGTCATAGCACTGGGGCATATACTACATGTATTGAGCATTTGATTTGGCCTAATGTTTCAGTAACTTAAAAATTTTCCAATTTTGCTTGAAGCAGTTCACACTTGCTGCACAATCTGTGAACCGATTTGAGAAAACCTACTCTCAGGGCCAGACCCGTCAACCCTGCAGGGAAGGTTCTGGTGCACTAAGCATCATGCAGTAGTTCAGTACTACCGGATGTGGGGAAGTGTTGTATTGAAGCAACATGTGACTATTCATTATTCATGACCTAAATTTATTCATGATTATTTTTATCGTAGTGTCAATTAGTAATTATAACAATAATAAATAACAATAATAAAATATTTCATCATAATATTAAGTAAAGCAATGGTGACTTGTTATCTTTATGAAAGAGACCTTACTCATGGCGTTTTGTAAGTGAAAAGGAAGAGATTCTGTGGAAAAGTTGCAAAAGAGGCTTAAAGGATTGAGTGATTTGAGTAATTATTGTTATGGCATGAATTTCTCCTCCACTGTACCTACAAAACCAGTACCTTTTGAGTGTGGCAGCTACTTCAATTGACTAACAAATTCACCCCATGGGTTCGAAAGAGCCCAATCTGAGAAAGATATTATAATGGAATGCTACAAAAGTGTTTCCTGCTAGGTGTAGCAGTGGGATTAGAAAGGAAAGTGCATGCGAAACAGAATACAGTACAATAGTAGTAAACGTGTTGCAGTGGAGGCAGAGCAAAGTTCCTATAGTACAGGAATGGAAATAACACCAACTAGAATAGTTGAACAAGAAGCAAGGCATAGTGACAGTGAAAAAATTGATGTTTTTGTGAGTTAAGTCCCCATCAATGTAATACTAATGAAATTTAATAAAGTTTTAAAAGTGACTGATGGCTTTCCTTGTGGAGAAAGGACACTGGAGCTACATTCACCTTGGTCTAAGGTTGGTGTAAGGAGAATATCAGCTATATTACATGAGGAAGTTATTGATCATTGGCATCATCAGTGGTGTCATCATCTTAAACTAGGAATCAAATAATAGCTGAAGTCTCTCACCTCATTAGATAGGAGATGAAACATATGTTAAGATTCACATGACTCTGTTATTCGTGATTCTCCAGGTACAATATGTCTTTATTGCTTCAGTGTTCTCAGTCATAATAATGTCTTGCAGAGGGTATCAAGCATTTTAGCTGGGATACTATATGAGATGGTATCAAACTTTCAGCTGGGACACTATATACTTGTATCAACTATGCCAACATTAGTGAAGTTGCTGTCATGTCTGTCTGAAAGATGCATTAAGTCAGAAGATAGTGACCATTATTGTTTGCATGCTTTTAAAGAGACGGTTTTGCAAAAGTCGATGGTAGAAAAGTCTTTTCTGTGACACTTTATGGCAATGGCTGCAGTAAAAAGGTATACACGGATTCATGTTTTGCTTTTTGGATGCATTATTTTATATGGGTCTTCAATTGTTTTCAGCCCTTAATGCTTTGTCTGTCACATTCTGGTACTTTGAAATTTATGAACAAAATAACAGAGGATTATCATATAAACATTGAACTGTGGTCAGATGAATTGTTGCATTATGTTAAAGTATTCAAAAATTGCTGTTGTGTAATGGAACAAATAATTATTTTTAGAAGAGCTCATTTTATAGCAGTTCTATTGCATTACATACTGTAGGGTATTGGTTTTAAGATGATGAGGATGATTATGTGACAGTGGCGAAAGCGATCTTGAATATTACAAGAGTCCAGAGGTATGCAAGATTGAGTCCGACAATGAAGAGGTAGTGATTCACATAACTGCTGACGTCATTCATAGTACAGATGTTGAACAATGCTTGATAGATATTGATGAATTGGCTCAACCACAAATGAAGCTATAGTAAATTCACAGCCTTGGACAGTCTTCAAGTTTGTGGGGGACAATTTAGACGAAAACCTGTATCGCAGGTTTCAAAGACTAGACTATCACACATAATCTTTTTACTTTTTCCACTGCTATGCTTTATTGGATAGAATTGATTTGAGCAAAATTTCTGATGTTTCAAAGTCTGTAATCATTCAAGTTGAAAAAGCATTGCTACATAAAAAGTAAAATAAACCTTCTAAAGCAAAGCTAGTCTGGTCACGCCCCTTTGCCGAGGGAGGGAAGGGTCTGGTGACACTGCTACAGAATTTGTTGCACTGTGCAGCGAATCTTGCGCACCAATCAGCTTTATCGAGCCACGTGTAAGTGTTATCTGTCATGTGATATCACCTGACTGGTCTGGTAACTCCCCTGAGTAACTTTAAGATGGCTGATAATCAAAAGAGAGTCCTGCTTCCTGGTCTTTTGCGTAGCGTTGCTGAGGAAATGGGCTATAGAAAGCTGAAAGCAGAGCAAGAAATGGTCATTACTGCCTTTGTTGAAGGAAAAGATGTTTTTGCATGTCTCCCCACTGGTTTTGGGAAGTCATTGTGTTACTATTGTCTTCCAGCATTATTTGATTCTGTTAAGCATCATACTTCACCTTGGTCCATTGTAATAGTAGTCTCTCCCCTGCATGCTTTGATGCAAGACCAGGTGGAAGCTCTGACAAAGAAGGGTGTGAGTGCCATTTGTGTTTTAGGACATGAGGAAAAGGAAATGGATAGGATTGTATCAGGGGATTATCGTTTAATATTTACGACTCCAGAAGTGTTATTAACTCGAAAAGACTGGAGACATGTCTTTCAAAGTTCATCAGTTGAAGAACTGTTGGTTGGTATAATTGTTGATGAAGCCCACTGTGTTAAGACATGGTATGTTAATACGATTACAAAAACATTGTTTACAATTTCTGTTATGTTATAGGGGAAGAGACTTCAGAAAAGAATTTAGCAAACTAGGTGATCTTCGCGGGTATTTTTCTGTCATTGTAAATTTCATGGCTCTAACAGCAACTGCATCAATGAGTACACGTAAGGAGGTGATACGTTTGTTAGGAATGAAAAAACCTGTTACCATTGTGAGGTCACCTGAAAAGCCAAATATATTCTATGCTGTATGTGAAAAGTAGGAGGAAGTTGGAATACAATTGTCTTACTTGATAGACGAACTTCGTGAGAAACGCGGACATACTGATAAAACTATTGTTTTCTGTCGCACATACAAGGATTGCACAGACTTATACTTAACATTCAAGCGGGAACTAAAGAGTGAGATTACTGAACCTATTGGATATCCTGATGTGTCTCCATTCCGTCTCGTTGATATGTTTCATGCTTGCAACAGCAGTAGTACTAAATCTGCAATCTTAACATCTTTCTTGTCTCAGTCTAGGCTACGAATCCTAGTGGCAACAGTAGCTTTTGGAATGGGTGTAGATTGCCCTAATGTCAGACGAATCATTCACTGGGGCCCACCTATAAACGTAGAAAGTTATATTCAGGAAACTGGTAGGGCAGGTCGTGATGGCCAACCAGCACGTGCTATTTTATTTTATTCCAAGAGAGACTTGTCTCATCCTTATATGGAGGAAAGCATCCGTAATTACTGCCAAAATGCTTCTGTTTGCCGAAGACAGGTACTCTTTAAAGATTTTGAATATTCTTCTGATACTAGTAAAAACCAATGCATTTGTTGTGACTTATGTGTTATGGTGTGTGAATGTAGTGAATGTGCAATTTGATTTTTTAATTCTCATTTAAACTAATAATTTATTAAATTAATCAACAATCAATTATAGTCATTAAAATTATCAATGTACAATTTTCTTTAATACTGTTTTTAACCACACCTTAAGATCGGTACACACAACATTACAAAACATACTTTAATTACATTTAGGGAAGTGACTGTGTTGTCTCCTGTTATCACTAAATATATCAGCTTTCTGTAATTCTTCTACTACAACTTCTAAATCTTTCTGTGAAGAGCGAGCAGAATGGCAGCCATGCAACGAAGGGACATCTGAACATTTATCAAAATTTTCTACAAAGTTTACAAGCACTTTCAAACTCTTACCAATTCTGTCTACAGCTACACCTTCATTTATATTTGATGACAGCGTACGCATTGCATCCTTGACAACACGATTTAAATGCTCCATATGGAGGTCCATAGGAATATTTTTACCAGGTCTTCCTATCGTGTTGATGGTCCTACTCCACAGTAACTGCTCCTTCATCCTTTCTGTAAAAATGAATTCATGTTGTAGTAGTAGTGTTGCTGCTTGTATGGCATAATTCCTCTTGTTGGTCATTTTGAAGATCAATAACATGTAACGCCAACATCTAATTATCCTTTCTCCATCCCCTTCTCTTATTCCATCACAATATTCCATGTACAGCAATCCCAGTGAAATGACATGCTTTGCATAGCCTTTAACAATATCCGTTTCCGGTGGCGATTAGCCATTGTAGAAATACATGTACTTCTTGACTATTTCTGACACTGCATTCATAAAAATTTCCTTTCTATTTGTTGGTGTTTGTATCAGGAAATCCTCATAACTGAACTTGGGATGCTTTGGAGCAGACTCAAGCGATTCTATATCGAATTCTCTCATTGCAAGGCTAACTATATGTGACTCCACTATAAGCAAAAAGAACTCTTCACACGCAGTAGGATCAGACTTAATTTCAAATGTCACACTTTGTCTCTGTATACGATTACGAAGATGGTATAACATCCCAGTGTCTCCACCAGAATTTGTTTTGTAAAGAAGCTTCCATATGGCCTACATAAGTTATTAATGTTATGATGTACATTGCAGGTGTTGTGTACATGTACATAATGCATGCATGTCTGTATAAACAATGCACGTATACATGTACTTTCTTTGAGCAATGCCACCTTAGCGTGCCAATCCTCTACTACAGGTATTAGCCCATCCAACCGATTTATTCCCCTATGTTCATTACTTCGCTCGTGCTTACTACCAACTGCCCTTTCCACTGTCAACTGATCACCTCCAAACAATACATAATGAAACTTGTCCAAGAATAACTTAACCTCATCATTGGTCTCTGGATCATGAAGAAATGTGGATTGAGATACAGTAGGAACATACTGTTGTAACTTATCCATAATACTGATCATGTCCTCATGCTTTGTTTCACATTTCTGAATAATGCCCAAAAGAACCTACAATGTATTAGCAATAAAATACTTATTAATTATACATGTAATTAAGGCTAACTTACTACTTCTGATTTGTGTGCCATTTCTCTTGTATATTTATGCTTAATATGCCTTGTGACTGGACATACATTCTCCGCAAAAAAATTGAACCTTTTCCTTATAATTCGAGCAGCAAGTATACTTGCATTATGATGCAAGACGTCATCGTCAGCAATTGTAGGGAATATAGTGGTGACATCACAGATACTTGTATCACATAGTGCTGGATTATCCTCTAAACCTGTGGTATCACATCTGTCTTTAACAGCAAACATATGAAAAAAGTGAAGAGAACTTGAATGCTGGTCTACTGTCTCATGTCTAGGACGCACAGTCTTATCTAAGTTATCTCCAACCAATTTGAACGATGGAACCTGTTGTTGAGCAGTCGAAGGAACAGCTGCATTGTCATATTCCTCTTCTTCATTACTAACAGAGGATATGTTGGAACTGCAGCTAGCTAGAGGCGAAAAAACTGGCTGTACTGTTGCGACGTCAGAGTCAGACATCTCTTCTGGTGAACTATCATGTATACTTTTCAGTGAATCTTCATCTGCCTTATCAAGAATATCAATCGCTATCTCAGCACAAGTACAATCCTCCAGAGTAACAGAATTATCTGCAAAAGGATCCTCATTTGTGGATTGTGATACAGGGTTCATTCCCTATTATATTTAAGCAGATAGTGAGATTGTTGTAAAGATTGAATATTTAAAAATCCATTTTATATGTATATTAATTTCTTTTTACCTTAAGTAATTGTTCAATTAATTGCTCACGCCAGGAAATAACAGAACTGTCATAATTTTCTCCCATTGTGTCGATAATGCGAATGGCTGATCTGTGTGAAACACAGAGTCCAATTTTCTGTAACCTAGTAAACAGCTACATTACATAGTGATTAGTCAATAAATATTATATGAAGTATTTACCTGTTTTGGGCAATGACTAGAATAAAGAAGAACAGACAGAAGACGCTGAATTAAATTCGCCCTTTCACTGTGAGCTCGTAAAATAATCCCTGCTGCTAACACCTTCATTATTTCTTTAGGCAGCCCTTGAGATTTCGTACTAAGGTCAGTGCCAACAATGTTATGCAACAGGAGGGTAAACACAGGAGCAGTTCTTTCCAAATCAATAAGGGTCTCATTCCAGAAAAAATTTGTCAGTGCATCCAATGACTTATCTTTGAACTTTGATTCAGCCTTATTGGAGCATGTCTCCTGCAGTTCCTTTTTCACAAACTTTCCCATCTTCACAGCAACTAACTTCCTCATTTGACTGTCTTTCATGACTATGTTCACAGTTGACTTTTTACTTTGTCGTTCGGCAGATCTCGCCAAGGTTTTGAAACATTTTTTGACAGGATAGGCTCTATGCTTCTTCTTCTTCTTCTTGACGACTACCTATATAAGTGAATGAATATTTAACTATATAATCAAGTACATGACAAAAAACTTACAAAAACTGATGGGCTCTCTTTTAGACTAGGTTCATTAATTGACCTACACGTAGTTTGCAATGGAGTTGACATGGAGAATAGCGACCTATGTCGAGCAGAACTGGTGCTACGGGGTGTAGAAGGTGAAGTTACTGAATGTGAAGTAACAACCAACAATGAACTCTGTCTTTCAAAAAACTGCCCAATACCTCTCTCAATTTGCTCTTCACAGTTTACTAAGTCTTTCCTAAGCCTAGCTGCTCTTTTTAGCAATGGATGACATCCTGATCTACAAGCCATTGGATACCTCTCACAAAATCTTCCCAGATCTTCATTTCTGTTACCATCTCGCAATAAAATGTCTCTGACTGTCAAAAGAGGCTCTTCATGGCGTTTCAGAAGCACTCTTTGCTGAGGAGGGATGTTTTTCTGACACACCAGACATTCAGTCAGCGCCATGCTTGTAAGCACATGAAAAAACGTGATTTTTGGGCGTGTCATCACGAGACTGTCATGTGATGACGCGTTTGCATCATTGCACACGTGGAGAAAGTTGCAACAAATTCTGTAGCAGTGTCACCAAACCCTTCCCTCTCTCGGCGAAGGGGCGTGACCAGACTAAAGCAAAGCCTATCAATTCTAATGTCAAAGTTAAATAATAATGCCATAGCCAATTATTATTATCATGGCAAAATACTTTCTGCCATTTTGCGCAGTTTGTTACTGATCGAAAATCAATTGTGTGCCACATCCCTCTTGATGGTTCTAATCAAATAAAGAGCAAGTCAACAACTGTATGCATATTACTCACATTTTGTATGCATGTAAAATTGTTATTTATACAGGTGCCATTAGAAATTCATTTGCACAATAAAAATTAGGTAGATGACATGTGCAAAATTTTAGAAAAAAGCCAAAAATATGTGCCAAAGTAGTGAAGCAGAAAACGTCACTTTCAAATGGTGAGCCTTTCACTTCTAATTCCACTGAAATGTAGCAAGTATTGTTTGGTTGTGATCAGCTAACCGTAGCAAGATGCAAACGTGCAGCTGCTATAAGATCTAGTCATTTGACAACATGGGAGAAACTTGAAGGACTAATTCCAGTTTAGTGGACTGGCACAGTAGAATGACGTTTCTAAAGGTAAGTAGTTGGTTTTACGAAGTGAGTTTTATGTTGTACATCATTACAGCCTACGTGGACTCATTTATACAACAAAAAAATTTAGCAGGATAAAGGCACGTTATAGCAAGTTAAAAATTTAATAATTCATTCATCGGTGCCTGAGGACACTGAGAAAAATATAAATGCAACTGAAGGTTTCATGGAAATAATTTTAGAAGCACATGTAGTTGCTGCAGCGTATAAGCTAATGGAGAATGGATGGAATGGCACGGTCTTAGAGTTGGCTAGTGCTGTTATAAATCATTGTGTGCATTTTACCAGAAGCTAAACCCATGGCACATAATAATCAAGTACTTAATGATGCTTGTGAAGTTCTCTCATCAGGGCTATTATGACTGAACTATTTAGATTCAGTCAGAAAAGGTGATGGAATTAGGGTGATGTCAATTTGGAAATTTTTGCTAATCTTTTTTAAAAAAACAAGTCAAAGGCAGTATGCCAAAGAGGCTGCCATAACTCTGCTGAAGCTATCCACACATTCACAGCCACACATTGCATTAAATGAAATAATTAAATCTTTGTGGCTTTCACAGTATTTTTTGGCAAATGCATGGGCATTAACAATAAAAATGGCTGACTCAGGGGAATAATCTTTTTCTGACAGCACAGCTACAAACAAACATGATGTGGATCAACTGCTAGGTGAGGTTAGAGGTGAGATTCATTTATTGATTTACTTTACAGTGCAACAAAGATAAGTTAAACAAGACTGAGGGGAATGAAACTCGAGATGAAACTACAGTGAGGGGAACAAGTAAACGCCCCTGTCATTGTCTTAAGTCATGCTGTATTATGTTCTACTATCTTTACCCACATATAGCTTAACATTATATCTTTTTCTAAGACCGGACCAACTACACTGACACTGTGCAAGATCTATA